AAGATGAGAGGCAGTATTGGCTTTGGAATGAACTGAACCTGTGACATTGAGATTCCTTGGTTGGAGTTCTATCCACTGAGCTATCTAACCCTTTTACATTAATTCTATCTTTTTTTAATATAGGCAGGTAGTTTAGTATTGCATCATAAATTATTCACTCGAATTAATGCTGCATCTATATAGTAAGATGCTTCTCGCCAAAGATTTTGGGATTTCTACACAGATATTTGGTGCTGCATAAGCCCACGTCCAGTTCAATATCTATCAACAAAGAGGTCCATGCACTATCATTGCTGAATTTCCATTGGACCGTTAAATACATACATGGCATTGGTTCTTTGTTCACTCAACAACATCCTTATCCAGTTAACAGAATGTGTAGACAGATAACTGTATTTGTGGTTGGCAGCAAGCCCAATAAACACATTATTTTCTTTAAAAAGGAACAGCATCCACCTACTTTAACAACCTGTCTCCCCCTGACCCAAGCCAAGACTTAATTGGTCTACATAGAACTACATACCTGAGTATAATTGGGAAGAAAATTGGCACCCGTTACCATTTCAACAAGTTCAGTGCAACAAAAAGGCATTCCAAACTGTTTCATGTTAGAACTGAATTCCAATATAATTATTGACAATACATAGAAACAATGATTTCAATACCAACTCTATATTATTATTTTTAATTGTAATAGTACCTTTTAACATTCCCAATTGCCACAATTATTATTTTCAGCAATAATTTCATTAGATGCCCATCCTCAATGCTCATTGGGCTGTAGTTTGATGACCCCTATAAACATCAACTTTTATGAAATATAATGGTATGAGCAGTGAAAACCTAAGGGTTATCTTTGGCTTATATCAGGACATCATTGACATTACATGTGTTACTAATTCTGAACAGGTGAAATAGGTGAGATATATACACTCAACAAAATTATAAACGCAACACTTGTTTTTGTCCCCATTTTTCATGAGCTGAACTCAACGATCTAAAACTTTTTCTATGTACACAAAAGCCCTATTTCTCTAAAATATTCACAAATCTGTCTAAATCTGTGTTAGATAGCACTTCTCCTTAATCCATCCACCTCACAGGTTTGGTATATCAAGATGCTGATTAGGCATCATGATTATTGCACAGGTGTGTCTTAGGCTCAGATTTGTGAACAATATTTTAGAGAAATAGGCCTTTGTGTACATAGAAAAAGTCTTTTTTAAATTCATTTTTATTATACTTTTACAAGTTTTACAAGTATCAAAAAATACTAAACAAATGAGTTCAACATCATCCTTCATATACAAACCAAATTAGCGTGTCAAAATTTTAGTGTTTCACCATATAGTTCATTTCTCAATTTGATATTTTTACAAATTAAATCAAGCATTAATATATTTTTTTGTTCAGCTCTTTTTTCAACATTTAAGTCGTCACATAATATATATAATACAAAAACATAAATAAAACCTACAACATAGAAACATGAAAAGACCTGGGATCGACTATCGGGATCAAGGAAAGTGGACAGAGTCTGTATTACTCTTTAATATATTAATTCATTAATTGTATCTAGAGCCAACTTCGGAAAGACATTATTAGGAATTTGCCCTAAAAGAGTTTCTATGCAAGAGTATCTATGCCAGGGTTTGTTGGTTCTACTGAGATATGGGTATTCTATTCTTTATAGTAATCGAACCTTTTTGTCCATGTCTTATTATAAAAGCCAATATTATTATCTTTATAATAAACTGCCTTTTCCATTAGGCCTTGGTATTGAATCTGAATTTGAATCTCTGTTATAGGAGATATATTCTGTTTTCCATTTTCTGGCAATGCATAATTTAACAGCTATCAAGACATGTATGGTCAAGAACAAAGATGATTTATCAATTTTTGGCAATTCTAGGTGGAATAAAAATCTTTCTGGGGATAAATTAATATTCAATTTTAGATAAAAAAAAAGTTTAGACACTCCTAAGTGACTACTAAAAAAGACCCCATTTTAAATGCCATGGGTTGTTTACTGTTGCAAATGCTATGCCATGATGGGGGTAACTTTCATTCCTTGGCTGCCATACAGTCTTCAAAGCAACATCGGCCCAGAAAACCAATCTAGCAAATTTCAATGTGTAAAACTGAAATGGGCAAGCCCTGTATTTGCCCCTGTAACTTTCCAAAACACCATAATGTGTTAATATTTTTTAGTACATTCCATCTGGCCACAAATATTTCTATACTCTAACATTCTACTGAACATTACTTCATGTTTGGTGGTCCTGCCCGAGTTTACAGAATTTTACTACTGCTATTTCTAAACTGATATTTCATTAACGTAGAAACTACATTAATACCTAATATTTTTCTGGCATCTCATACAGCAATCGCTGAGGTCTGGAATTCAAAATATTTTATCATTCTCCATGTTGAAACACAGAAAGAAAAATGATATGGACAGTCTGTCTGAATAATTATCATTAACCTGTTAAGTGTTCTGTTATTTTTCTTGTAGTAATTTATCATTTTTTTCACCACAATGCTGGGTTTGATATAAAAAAAGAGTACCTTTCTCAGCATTCTTTTGTGCATGTGTCTTGCCTGCATAGTACTGTGTGGCTATTTAGCAGATTTGAAGCCCCCATTTTTTGGTGCACCATATAGATAGTCTTTCAAATATGATGGTGAAAATGAAGGTGGCACCAATTAATGAAATTCTACCACTGCCTGTTTAAATAAAATGATACCTTTTTTGCAAACATTTGTAAAATATTCTACATACAGTGATTGAATATGCAACTAGGAACCACAGTGATCTATGTATTTCGAGCTCCAATCACATTATCAGGTCCAAGTGATAGAGTTTAGATATAGGCCAGGAGTAGGCAGACTTCGGCACTCCAGATGTCATGGACTACATCCAGGGCCGCACTGGGGAAAAAATTCGGCCCGGGCATTTTTGATTCTCAGCGGCCTACTGAAAAGGGGGCGGGGCCAGATAGGGTGTGTTTTGTCATCCCCAATGACAAGCACGTCCCATCTCAAAGTAAGCATGTTGGTTCAATGCTCTTCCAGGGCATGAGAAAAGGGCCCTGTATTTGTTCTGCACAGCGCAAGCAAATGTAATAACATGCTTGCGTTGTGTTTGCTTGAAACTTGTATCAGGGGTTTCAATAATTGGGATACTCACTGTATCCCATTTATGGAGACACTATGTGTTTGCTTAAATGGAATCTAGTCTGTGCATAGGGGATCCAGAGTGTGGATGTCAGAAATGTAGTGTGTGTGTGTAGGTGGTACAGCATCTGTGTGTAGGGGATCTAGTGTGTGTTTGAAGGACTCAGGAGTGTGTATAGGAGATCTAGTGAGTGTGTGTGCGTGTGTGTGCGTGCGTGTATAGAGGATTCAGAGTGTATATAGAGATCCAGTGTGTGTATATCTGTAGATATCCAGAGTTTGGTAGGAATCTAGTGTTTGTCTTGAATTGAATGTGTTTATGGGTGCAGTATGTGTGTGAGGGGTTCTGTAGTATATATACATATATGTTTGGTGTGTAGTATTGTGTGTGTGTGTGTGTGGTGCAGTGTGTTTGGCGTCTGCTGTGTGTATGTGTGAGGTGTGCGTGTGAGGGGTGTAGTGTGCATTTGTGAGGAGTATAGTGTGTGAGGGTGCTGTATGTGTGTGTGAGGGTGCTGTGTGTGTGCGTGTGCAGTGTGTGTGTGTGTGAGGTGTGCAGTGTGTGTGTGTGAGGTGTGCAGTGTGTGTGTGTGTGAGGTGCGCTGTGTGTGAGGTGTGCTGTGTGGGGGGGGCTGTGTGTGTTAGGATGCTGTGTGTGTTAGGGTGCTATGTGTGTTATGATGCTGTGCGAGGGTGGTGTGTGAGGGTTCTGTGTGTGTTAGGGCACTGAGTGTTAGGGCGCTGTGTGTGTTAGGGCACTGAGCGTTAGGGCGCTGTGTGTGTTAGGGTGGTGTGTGTGTTAGGGTGATGTGTTAGGGTGCTGTGTATTAGGGTGCTGTGTGAGGGTTCTGTGTGTGTTAGGTTACTGAGTGTTAGGGCGCTGTGTGTGTTAGGGCATCTGTGTGTGTTAGAGTGGTGCTGTGTTAGGGTGCTGTGTGTTAGGGTGCTGTTTGTTAGGGTGATGTGTGTTAGGGTGATGTGTGTGAGGGTGATGTGTGTGTGAGGTTGCTGTGTGTTATGGTGCTGTGTGTGAGGGTGCTCAGTGTTAGGGTGCTGTGTAAGGGTGATGTGAGTTAGGGTGCTGTGTGAGAGTGATGTGTGTGTTAGGGTGCTGTGTGAGAGTGATGTGTGTGTGAGGGTGCTGTGTGTGAGAGTGCTGTGTGTTAGGGTGCTGTGTGTGAGGGTGCTGTGTGTGAGGGTGCTGTGTGTGTGAGGGTGATGTGTGTGTTAGGGTGTTGTGTGAGGGTGATGTGTGTGTTAGGGTGCTGTGTGAGGGTGTTAGGATTGTGTTTTGGGGGGAGGCAGGTAAATGACAATATTGATTTATTTTTATTAAAACAAAAAACAGACATTATACCCCCCCTCTATTCTTACCTGTAGCCTATAGTTCACTCACGCAAAACCCGGATAATTGCCATGGCAACGCTCCCGATCTCACGAGAGGAACCCTGTGAAGCTGCAAGCTAGAGCTCCGTCAGGTTCCTCTCCTGGCTGTCTTTGATCTCCCCACCGACCCTTCATGGAACACAGCGGGGCCGGCGCTCGGATAGCGCCGGCTCTGCATGGACCGGCTGGATCTCCCCCCCGCCGGTCTCGGCCCGTGGCCATCGCGGCCCACCGGTGCCCAATGGCCAGTCCGGGCCTGACTACATCTCCCCTGATGCTTTGCCAACATTATGGATGTAACAGCATTATGGGGGATGTACTTCACAACATCTCAAGTGCCGAAGGTTGCCTATCCCTGATATAGGCAAATCAACACTATAGTTATCACTTAAGGCAACAAGGAAGATGTGAGGGTGCAATAACACACTCTATAAAAGACATAGAATATTATAGTCTGTGAGGTTTGCAGGAAGAACGTGGAGTTCTAGAAGATGCACTTGGATAGGAATGAGGTGAGCTGGTGTTATCAGCACAAAATGAAGACAGTGCTCATGTATGTGGCTGTGTGTTCAGGCATCTTCTTCCAGAAATCTGTTAAAGCAAAAAAAATACAGTTCATATAAACCTATAAAACCAGAAAAAAATACATGTAAAATGCCTGTCTTTCTCAAATATTTATGACCTCTCTAAAGTCCATGTATATGACAACCCAAAATACATTTTATGCTACATTTATGGTTTTCAAACCAAATTTGCTACATATAGTAAAGTAGCAAATCATACATTATTATACACCATGGATAGGCCCAGTGGTGTATCCTGGTTTTGTGCTGCCCTAGGCAGGACAAAACTGAGGCGCACCCCCCCCCCCAACCCTTCCCACACACACACTCACACACTAACAGACACACACACTAACAAACACACACTCACTAACAGACACACACTAACAGGCAAACACACTCACACTCACTAACAGACACACACACACACACACTAACAGACACACACACTAACAGACACACACTAACAGACACACACTCACTAACAGACTCACTCACGAACAGACAAACACACACTCACTCACTAACAGGCAAACACACTCACACACACTAACAGACACACACACTAACAGACACACACACACACTAACAGACACACACTAACAGACAGACACACACACTAAAAGACACACACTCACTAACAGACACACACTCACTAACAGACAAACACACACACACACTCACTAACAGACAAACACACACTCACTAACAGACCCACACTAAAAGGCAAACACACTCACTAACAGACACACACACTAACAGACACACACTCGCTAACAGACACACACACACTAACAGACACACACTCACTAACAGACAAACACACACACACTCACTAACAGACAAACACACACTCACTAACAGACCCACACTAACAGGCAAACACACTCACACTCACTGACACACACACACACTAACAGACACACACTCGCTAACAGACACACACACACACTAACAGACACACACACACTAACAGACACACACTAACAGACACACACTAACTAACAGACAAACACACACTCACTAACAGACCCACACTAACAGGCAAACACACTCACTGACACATACACACACACACACACTAACAGACACACACTCGCTAACAGACACACACACACTAACAGACACACACTCGCTAACAGACACGCACACACACTAACAGACACACACTAACATATTCCAGCTCCCAGCCTCACTCTGCGGGCGGCGCGCGAGGGAGCTGAGCGCTCAGGCAAAAGTGCTCCCTCACCAGCACCGCCCACCCATCAGCCAGCCCAGCAAGGCTAACAAGACATTTGCCCTGGGCATTTGGGAGCGGCATTTTTTGCCGCCCCCCTGGAAAATGCCGCCCAAGGCAAATGCCTTGTTTGCCTCGTGGCTAAAACGTCCCTGGATAGGCCACCTTACGCACTCCAGATCTTGTGGACTACTACTACTGTTGTGGACTTACAGCATTATGGATGGAGTCCACATCTGGAGTGCCTTTGGCGAGAAGCTGTATCGGTGCCCTTCCCTCCACCCCCATTTTATAGGTGCTCTTCACATAGCATGAATCTCATATAAGTGCTCCACCATGTAAAAGAAAGCTAAATAAACAGATCTAGCAATAAATTTTGTTTCCTAATCCTCCCTGTCCCATAAAAAAATTATAAAAAGGAATTAAAAGCTCCTGAGATTTCTTAGGGACAGAATCCTACTGTGACGGACCGCTGGCACTCCGACTGAGTACCTCCGCCAATCGATGCTCCTAGTGCTCGCTGAGGACTCCAAGCACTCCAACCGACACCATCAGCACTGCAGACCCCACTTCCAGCGATGCAACTGCGCCGGGGTCTCTGCTGTCTCCACCCACCCTGGACCCAAGGCCAGGATCCAGCTTCCAGTGGGTGAACCTCTCTTTCCCCAGAGAGCAGGAACAGGAACAAGCTCTTAGCAGAATTTAGTGATCATACCCTGGGGAGTATAGTGATTATAGCAATCCCCAGAGTGTATTTCTCCAATCCCCCAAACATGAGCCAAGGCTTAATGCTGGAACAAGACTGATTTACTGGCACACAGAACTCACAATTTATGCAACACAAAACTCCTCCTCTGGGCCAGGCTAGATAATTGAGTTTCTACAATACACAAAGCTCAATTATCTGCTGGCCAGAAATAATACAGTTTTTACAGCATATTCATAACTTCTAAAATATACATCACATTCACATAAAAATATATATATTCACAATCAATCCATTCAGGGAAACAACATATCAAAAAATGGCATGAATCAGACCAGGGGTTAAGAAGTTAGTAAAGTATCTTTTGGGGCCTGGCTGGCAGCATGGCTATCTGGCCCAAACTGGTTTTACAGAGCCCTCTAGCCTGGAGATAATGGGGAAAGTAATCCAATTATCCAGGGATAGAAGCAGACTCCATTGAGCACATGTTCCCAGTAAAACACAAAAGGATACAAAAATACATAACTCCTATCATACTGAATTGAACGGGCCAAATCTCCCAGGGTCCATAGTCACAGGGCAAGAGGCGGCAAGCAGTCCTCTCCAGGCACAAGTGGCGAAGGGCACTTCGTCACAGTAATAAATCCATGAATAAAGTAGCAGGGAGGGAAAGTATCGAATGAATGGAGGGGGATTCTTCACACCTACCAGTCATCCAAAGACCTCCCCTCTATTGAAATCAATGCAAAGAGAACTCCTACAAACCCTTCCATTTGCTAGTGCATATCACGGTCGTGTGATAACCCAACATGCAGTATTTAAACCTACAGAAAACCCAAGCATGTATTACCAAACCTTAAAATGATCGGATTTAACGTAGGTGAAAAAGCAAAAAATCAGAATACCAGAGATCAGGAGAACGATACAAGAATAGCCGGGTCAGGATACCAGAAATCAGGAGGTCAAAATACAAGCCAGGGTCAGTACACAAAAACAACAGTAAATATGCAAGGAGAATTAAAGAGCACTAAGGGGAACACAAGGAACCACAATAGGGCAAGGAACAAGGCAAACGGCGCCCCTTTTTAAAGGGAGCGTCTTTTGCTTTAAGGCACGGCCCCAAAATGTTCTGGGCCGGTATTGATGACGTGAGACCGCGTCATTGAAGTCATGACGTTGGCGCGCATGCACGGCATCATAAAAAGGGACGTGACTCCAGCGGCCAGCGTGGGACATGCTGAACTCGTTGGAATAGAAGTCTGCCCTGGATCCTGCACCACGTGGGCGCAAAGGAATAAGGTAAGAGATCGTGACAGTGCACATGGAATAGTAAAGCTCCATATACAATGCTTTCCCAATAATGCCAAGGAAAATCTGTGTTATCAACCTCAATTTAGAATCCCCAATGCATAGTGTGGAGACTCTGACCCAGGAAGCATCTGAATGACTGAGGTGTCCCTAGGCAGTAATGTATACACTGACCTTTCTCTGTATAGCAGTGTTTACATGAAAAATGCCTGCAGGGACATACTATACTTACCAGAGCAACTACATTAAGTTGTAGTTGTTCTGGTGACTTTAGTGTCCCTTTAAAGGCATTGCATATTTTTGCCTATTTTTAATACATTAAAAGGGTCTCTTATTGCATGGAAGAATACATAACTGTGTGTGATTCCTGAGTGTAATATGTATGTGGGTGTGCGGTGGCTGAGTGCGCTGTTTGTGATTCCTGAGTGTATATATGTGGATGTGTGGTGGCTGAACGTGTTGTGTGTTATTCCTGAGTGCAATATGTATGTGGGTGTGTGGTGGCTAAGTGTGTGCTGTTTGTGATAGCTGTGTGTGATTCCTGAGTGTAATATGTATGTGGTGGCTAAGTGTGTGCTGTTTGTGACAGCTGTACATAATTATTGAGTGTAATATGTATGTGGGTGTGTGGTGGCTGATGTGCTGTGTGTAATGGCTGAATATGTTGTGTGTGTGATTCCTGAGTGTAATATG